TAATCACAAGGAACAAATGAGGGATTTGCTAGATCCTCCTTAGCCTTAAGAAATCAAGAAGAAAACTTTGATTTTGGCACAAACCAAAATGGCGTGGGAGAGTGTTTTTCTTTGTGTTGCGTGTGTTTTCTTTTCCCTCAAAAGGCAAATTAAAATCACACAAATACTTTTTCTTTTATAGGCAAACTTAGTTGCCCTATTCCCATATGGAATGGGCTTGGGCTTCAACCCAAACACCCCATGTTACCAAACACTCCCAATTAGATATTTTATTTATTTCATCATTATCTCAATTAAAATCAATTAATATTTAATTAACATTTAATAATAATGATGATTTAATTAAATATGTGCGAACACATATTTAAACATAATTTCACTTATTTAATTTTTTTAACAAATTAAATAAAGGCTACGACCTCAGCAAATTTAATTGCACTGTGAAATTACCAAAATACCCTTTCGCCCAAAAAGACGAAAACACCCTTCTTTTTTCCTGGCTCTTAAATTATCTTCTATGTGTGTGACCCATAGGCTCCTCATCATACCGACAGTGTATAGCATCGCGATTAACACCAATTAATCGTCTCACTTATACATAGACCAAGATTGGCCCCTAGCAAGGCATCATGGCCACCCGATAGATTCGGATTCAGCAAAGTAGCTACTTGTCAATGATATGGTTACCGTACAATTCGATTCTTTCATCATACTGTATCTCGACGAGACGAAGGCATAAAAATAGTGTCAACCTCCGGTTACTCTAAATATTATGTATTCAGTTTCTAGACCAATGACCTGTATTATAAACCGGATAAAGCAACAACTCAATCCTACTGTGGCCACAGTTTTAGTGTCATTGCCATACACTGAATTGCGCAGTGAGATAATTTCTCCCATACCCGGGAGTGATGTATCCTCTGTCAATCCACCATAGTCTTGATACACTCCTTGATGTAGCCAATCACCACCGTATTGACAGCTTTGAATAGAACTGCATTAGGCTAGTGTCAAGCTGCACCAATCGGTGCACAAGGTGCTCTGGTGATCTCAAGTCTAAGGATCACATGCACCACCATTCGTTAGAGGATTTGTTCCATAGACATTGGGGTTACCATCCATATGAAATCCTCTGGTGGGTCATCTAGTGAACTTGATACGGTATATCTGCCTACAGCAAGCATCCATGTGTTGCACGAGGTTGTCACCAAACAACCTTGACAAGTGAGATCAGTCACTGCCTTTCGATAGGGTCGTTCAACACTATGATAGCCTTACTGTATTATATGTGCCCTTACTTCAGAATAATACTGGGGCTACAGACGTTTCTAGAATGGCCACCATATGTGCTCATAGGGTTCTCACTATCAAGATTTGAAGCACTTGATACCATCGTCACAGTTCTACCATTCTAAGGACATATATCAATACATATTGCAATAATAATGATTTACGCGATATAGAATAAAATGCCTTTTATTGATTAATGAACATTATTACAAAGAGTCAATTCTACAATAATTAATTGACTCTAGGGCATCTACTTCAATAGGATCAACAAAGGATTCATCACCCCTGGTTACAGGAGAAATTATCTCACTAAGATATTTGGTTAGGAACCACGACTGCAAAATATGTGGCCATACTGGAATCGAGTTGGTACTTGAATCCAAATTATATGGTTCTTGATTTGACAACCGAATATTAACATATCAAGGTACATTCATTGAAGTTCATGCTACTTCTGTACTTCAAACCTTGATGAGATAAATGATGATGAAAGGATTTGAATTGCACGGTAACCATACTGTTGAAAGGTTGCTACTTCATTGAATCTTTATTTGTTGGTAATCATGATGCCTTGCTAGAGGCCAATCTTGATTGGTGTACAGAACACTAATTAGCTAATGCTTAATTATAAATCCGGTCGCTGCCAACATAATAAATGGCCTATGGGTCACACACATTAAAGACAATTTTTATTGAGAATGGAGATTGTAAGTTATTTTGTCAACTTATGATTCTAGTGGTGTAATACTAGTCATTGTATGAACATTTCACCTTGAATATTACACAATCATTCTTGTTTAAATTTCTAGTGTGATGACCTTGTGTTAAAAGTGACCACCTTCTTTTACGTTGTTTATTTGCTATATCGGGTGAGCAACTCTGAGTCAGAGTGGTCACAATGCATCTGGCAGATTTTATTTGGGTAACACGTGTTATGCTTCTAGATTGCATGAGCTGTTATATTCTCTTTTGAGACATTTGTGTGGTCCATAGCTGTAATACTTTCTTTCTAGCTAGTATACTCGTAAAATAATCAATAAAACTTATTGAAAATATATATAAGAAAGTACACATATAAACGAGTCATAAAGTATGGGCCCATATTTAATTTTTCTTTATATACAAATATTTACAAAATATACTCAAAATAGCAAATTGATAGTGTAGCCCAAGCCTTCCACCGCGTGGCGTTCTGAGCGACCACAGCTCATCTATTACCTGGGTACAGTCACGCACTCTAATGGACTATACAATTCTTCTTTCTGAATTCTGAGGCCGCTCACTAAAGGCGGCGTGCATGTGGGACTCTGCCACTCACGAGCTCCCCATCGCAACAACCTTCTCTTCTTTTTATCTTTTTACACAGTTTTAACAAAAATTTCAGATTTGAATATCTTAATATTCTTATTTCTTTCTATTTTCTCTTTAACATATTTTAGTGCTTTTTCATGCTCTTATGAGATATATGCATGTAGATGGTTTCATGCTTATAATTCTAAATGCAAATGTTTAAATGCAAGGATGCCATGTAGCATAAAAAAATAAGTTTCTCTCTACCATCTACAAACTCATAGCAATTCATAAATGAATAAAACTCACGCATACACTTCTCTTGGACATTTCATCAAACATATTGCATGCATAATCAAACTCTATTTTGACTATAATTCTATCTCTTTCTCAAGCCACCAATATTTGGAGTAAAACTCCCTTAAACAATTACTGAACCTGTCCAAAACAACACACTCCCAAAAGTTCTACTCATCTCTTTCTAACTTCAACCAAACTTCAATTAATCATCATACAACCAAAACCACTTCTCATGGCTAAATTCTATTCACCAAACTCATCAATAATTCATCAATTTCATCAACAATTCTCAAATCATAAGCATATACATGTATGTAAAATCTCTACACACTTGATTTCTCAAATCATAACTTGGGTAGGATTTACTTACCTTTGATATGAGCAATCCAACCCCTTTTAGAATTTTCTTTGATCAAACTCTCTTCTTCTTAAATCCTATGAGCACAAACTATCCAAATTCAACACTTTAAAAATGAAATTCACTTCTTAGTGCAAGGATCTTACCTGAAGTTGCTTCGGATTGAAAATCCACTCAAAAGTACCCAAAATCTATGAATTTCTTTTGAAAAAGAAGTGAAGAAATTGAGAGGATTTGGAGGAGAAGTGGCGTGAAAATGGGTTGAAGAGTGGCTAGGGTTTCACTCTTCAATCCTTGATATAACATAAAAATATATAAGTTTCCCATTTTGCCCTTGCACTTTCTTTAAAATTTCATCTATGTCCCTTAGTCAATTACCATAATGCCCTCATTTTTACTGCATTCTCTATGAAATTCTATCTCTTTTCACTCCCCACTTTTTCAACTAATTTTGAGTGAAAAGACCATTTTACCCTTAATGCAAGTTTAAGGTATTTTCTTCACATTTTCTCAAAATAACTTTAGCAAAAATCAACTAAAGGTATAAGAGCATAAATTAAATTACGTACCTCCATGTGGGCGTTACAATTATACTTATCAAATTCATATTCAATGTGCTGGAAAGTTTTATTCTCTTTGATAGATGGCATCTTAATAATGGAATAAACTTTTATAAAGGTAAAAAGTTATTCCTTGCCACATGTCCCCTTGCATTGGAGCCCAAGTTTTCTATATATTCGGCTCCTCCAATTCAATTTTTTTCAAGCCTGATTGTTCCTATGATATTACTCTGAAAATTCCTTGAGGTTTCTTTTATTTTGAATCAGGTTTCATATGCCTTAGGTATTCTTACAAATACCTTGGTTACACTTTGTTTATTTGTTCATGGGTGGAACGTGGGTTTCCATTGGTGATGTTTGATAGGATTTTAAGCTTTCGGAGTTGAAGTACGTTGTTGGTGTTGATCCTTGAGAGGAACTCAAGGCTGACCAGGTGGTCTTGTGAATGTGGAGCTTGCTGTGGTAGTTAGAAGCTCAACCAAAGGGTGGAGTTTGAAGCGTTGTAAAACAAGGAGTGTTCTTGCAACTAATGCTTAACTTTGGATTTGTAATTGAATTGTAAATGTTTACCATAGTGGATTGGCTTCATCTAGACGAGGTCCCATAGATGTAGGCATGTTGCCGAACCATGTAAAAATCCCTGATGTTCTTTATTTTGTTTTATTGTTGGTTGTTTTGCAATGCTGAAGAATGAACACTAAAATCAACTTAGAAACCTATTCCGCTTAGGTTTAATTCACTTGGTAAAGGAATTAAATCATTCAAAAATGAAGGGTAATTTCATCTTTTTTGGACGAAAAGGGTATTTTGGTAATTTTTATGCAATTAAATTCACTAAAGGTTGTTGCCAACATTCAATATTTATATTGAAGTCAATTGAGCAAAGTTGTAATTATATTAATATTAATATGGAATAAATATATGGAATAAATATATCTAATATATTTAAATTATTTAAATATCCCATTAATTGAATATATGGATAAATAGATATTCATATTTATTTACTAGGAATATATATTTAATTGGGAAATATCCTATTGCAAAATAGAAAGGTATATTTAATTGGAAAATATCCCATTCCAAAATAAGGAATAGAAATATTTCTATTCCTAATGGGGAATATTTTCTTCCCACTATATAAGAAAAGGAACGGGAGAATTAAATAAAATAAAGTTCATTATTTTCTCCCAAATAAAAAATGCTAGTTGCCTATTAAGTTTTTGAGAGAGAATTTATTTCTCTCAATTGTGTGTTCTCTCTTCTTGCACTCAAGGATTCTAGCAAACTTCCTTGCATGTGGATTAGCTTCCGTGCCTTCGTGTGGACTTCTCAAGAGCAATTCCGTCTTGAATTAACTAGCGAAAAGTAAATCGAAGAACCTGAAGGAGCCTCCAAATGCAGGTAATAACAACAAACCTTGTATGGGTTGTTTTATTTTATAAACAGATTGCATATATCAATCTTGATCATGGGATTAACAGGTTAAATTGAATAATGTTTTGTATTATATTCCGCGTATTATTCAATGAAAACCCTACAGCGCATTGGGTGCTTATGCATGAGAATCCATCTACAATTATGGAGGAGGAGGGTTTTGACAATAGTCTAAAATATGGGATGCTAGACTGGGAAAGGATATCACGCAATACTAGTAAAAATTATTGTGTGAAGGTGTATGATATGGAAAAGAAGAAGTTAAAGACTTTGTTGAGGAGTGTTAGTAAAATTAGGTTGATGATAGATTTATGGAATTCAAGTAATTAGAAGATTGAGTACATAGTTTTAACATGGCATTAGATAGATAGCAATTGGAGGTTGAACAAACGTGTTCTCAACTTTGTTCATTTACCTCCTTCTCGTAATTGTCTCTAGATTGCTAATTCCATTTATAAGTGTTTGATGGAATGGGGAATTGAAAACAAGGTCTACACGATCTCAGTTGATAATGCTTCAAGTAATGATTTTGGCAATTAGGGTTCTGAAGAACATTTTTTTCATTAAACAAGAAGCTCATTGGTGGAGGTAAATTGTTTAATGTTCAGTGTTGTGCACACATATTAAATATTATGGTTCAAGATTGTCTTTCTTAGATTAAGTACATCATTGAAGACATCCATGATAGTGTTTCATATATCAATCAATCGGAGAGCAACTTATCATATTTTCAGAGATTGTGAAACATTTGCAATTGCCTTACCGAAAGCTCATTCTAGACTGTAAAATGAGGTCGATTTCAACTTATAAGATATTGGCAACTGCTCTTAAGTTCAAAGATGTCTTTCCAAGATTCAGAGAAAGAGAGCTTGATTATCATCTCTTGTCCTGACCTAGAAGATTGGGAGAAAGTAGAGGAAGTTTGTGAAATTTTGAACATTTTTAGTGTTGCCACTAATATCACATCTAAGAATGACTATCCAACTTCAAATTTATTTCTTAACGAGGTTTATCAAGTGAGAGTATTGTTGGATAAAAAATCAGAAGATGAAAATGAATTTATTCGAGACATGTTGAAGAAGATGGAAAAGAAGTTTGATAAGTATTGGGGGAATGTAATTTGTTGATGGTTGTAGCTATTGTCTTGGACCTTAGGTGCAAAATGAGGATGATTGACTTTTGCTTCCCTAAAATGTATGTTGACCATTATAAGAGTTTAGGAGGCCTTGTATGAGCTTTATGGGGAATATGTGGCTGATAATCAATCTTCTACTGTTAACCACAGTGTTGGAACTGAAAGGGTTGGTGAGGTGAATGCAGAAGATGAATCTTCTGGTTAGTTAGAATTTTTGAATTATCTGGGCGTGGTTGAAACAGTTGAACCAAAAAAATCTGAATTAGATTATTATTTGGGAAAAGGATGTTATAAGTGTCAAGGCATCTAGGGTTAGGGGGATCATGAAGCATTTGATGCTTTAGAGTGGTGGAAGGCGAATACTTTGAAATACCCTATCTTATCTAGGATGACTCGTGGTATACTAGTCATTCCTATCACCAAGGTGGCTTCAAATGCTACTTTTAGTGCTGGAAGTAGAGCTATTGACACTTATCGAGCTTCATTGTCTCAGGAAACAATGCAAGCGCTACTATGTGGAGGTGATTGGTGTCACAATCTCAATGGAGTGAAGAAAAAGAGCAAAGTAAGTTCCATTTATTAAAATTATAAAAGTATTTATTTTGGCCCTTTTATTTAGTAGTTGCTTTTATTTTAGTCTAATTTAAACCTTTTTCCCCTTTTTCTATTTTAGAAAGAGAAGAAACCAGTGGAGATTAAGCTTCATATCCCTTCAATTGATGGAAATCAAGAGATTGTTTGATCCTCCCAAGACTGTTTGATCTTCGGGACTCATTGGCAGGTATTTTTTTTTTTTTTTTTTTTAAGACAGATTACATTATATTTTTTTGCATATTGTTGATTTGGGTTTTGTTCTTTGTTCTATTTGTTCTTATTTTGCTTGGTTTGGACATGGAGATGTTGAGAATGGACTTGTTTGTTGGGAAGTATTGAAGACCAATTTTTACATGGAATACATAGAAATGTATTTAAGCTGCATGCTGGGTTTGGGCCATTTTCAGAAAGAGATGATTAATTTAATGAGAAGTAAAGAGTAGCAAGAAAAACCAGGAAAGTGTGAGAAGGAGAGGGAAAATTTGAGAGAAAATTTCCTTAAGAGACGTGTTGTATTTTTCATTAGTTTGTGAAGTATTACACGGTTTCTTTATGTACAAAATGGACTGTGGTCAACAAGTCAACACAATTCAGTCAACCATACACCTACTTCACAATGTGTAACAACTTTCACTTTTCCTAACATCCTCCCCTAAACCAAACCTCCTTAGCACTCAGCCAACAAGTTATTTGTTACATTCTCTGTACCTTTTCACAAATCCTAACATTCTCGCGTAAACTAAACTTCCATAAGACTAAAAGAAAGACCACAGTTTTGACTAATGCTTCCTTTGATCTGTTGCACTACATCAGGTAGCACTTATTAAATCTATAAAAACTCTGTTCTGAAAGTGGCAGCAATTCAACTTACAATGTGTCGTGCTCAACTGTATAATTGCACACCTGCAGGACTTAGATTTTTTCACATTAGTACTTCTGCTGAATGTCTTACATTAACAACACAATAAGCAATGTAAAACGACTGATAGCTGCAAAAACTTTTTTGAAAAAAGTGACTTCAGATAGTGTAAGGAACCAAGAAATGCCCTGAATCTGCTGAATAGCTCTGAAACATATCTGTAGTCAAGATCAGAAAACGCAGCCTGAAAATGCAAAACTTTCTCTGAAGTGCAACCCCAATATACATCTTAAAACAGCAGAATAACTCTGAAACACAAGTAAAGATCAGAAAATGCAGCTTGAAAATTCATGTAGTGAACAGGCCCTGAAACTGTAGAGTAAGTTCAGGATAATTCTGGACCAACATACACCTGAATACATCCAGCAAAAAACATAGCTTCATGTAGTGAATCATGCCCTAAAACTGTAGAGTAAGTTCAGGATAATTCTACATAACTTACTCTCTCTCAGAATCTGTAAGTAGACCAGACTGTTTCCCTTTGGGAGAATCTCTTACTGTCAGTTTCTCTCTTAGAGTTTCAAACTTGGAGGCTGAGAGAGCTTTAGTAAATACATCAGCTTTCTGAAATTCAGTAGAAACAAAGTGAACCTTAAGCTTGTTAGCTGTGACATGTTCCCTCATATAGTGAGCATCTAATTCAATATGCTTTTATTTCAAATAAATTCAATTATTTTAATTTAAAAAAATAAATATTCTTAATCATATAATATTGAAGGATAAAGATAAATTTGAATTTTAATATGAAATTAATGGAATAGGGATTCAGAATCCCATTTCCTTTTCAATCCATGAAGTAAGCATTGCATTTGTGCATGTAGACTTGATACCAATAAATGAAATATAAATATCTTTAAACACCTTGAAACTCAGAAATTTATTATTTATCAAAGAGGTTTAAATATACTTTGAATCGCATTATTCTTTAGCATATGTGTAATATAAACTATAGTCGGAGAATTTGGAGTAATTTAAAAAAAAAAATGCAGAAATCTCAAAAATATTATGGTTATAACGAGAAATATTTGAAAATCTGTACAAAACAATTTTGTTTGAAAGTCATATGTACGAATTATAAAATAAATTATGTATACAGATAATACACCGTGCATGTACACCAATATATTGATACAAAACACACATATTTAAAATTTTCACATATATATATATATTTTTTTTTTTTTTTTTTTCCAATTCACTCTAAAATATTGTTTGACATTTATTGACTTAGGCAAAGACTCAACCGCCACTACGCTTCGAACTTGCAGAATAATTCAATTCCTTGCACTTGCACAAAATAACGTCTGATCTTTTATCAATCATTTTTCCAATTGAAGATTTCGTTAACATGCTTAAATTTGAGTCATTCCGAATGATAAACCAAGCTAGGAAAGAAAGTAATCTTCCCCCTACTTATAATGTGGAAATTTGTGAAGATTTTAAGAAAGCAAAAATGAAATTGACAACTGATTTTGTATTTAACACTAGTGTTAAGAGTGAATACAACCAAGATCTCTCTTATATATAAAAGAGAGAATCAGTTAGAATCAGTAAAGTGGCTCATGTGAGCTTAAACAATTTACAATTGATATCTATAAAGTGAGCTACTTAAAATGACATCATCTTTGACAAATAACTGTGTGATCCTCTGTGTTTTTCAGAATTGCAGTTTTCACCCTTTGTATGGTCAACATTTCCCCTCAAACTGAACTACTCCTCATGTGGTTGAAGGTCAACACTTCCCTTCAAACCAAACTTCATTTCCCTGGCTATGTTTTTGACAGCTAAGGTTCAGAACTTTGTTTCTTCTTGTCAGCAGCCTGAATGACTTTTAAAACAACACCACAGCATATACTACTCATGATGTGATTGACACACAATACTGATCATCAAAACAACACCACATCATATACTACTCATGGTGTAATTGACACACACAATACCGATCATCAACTGAGCACTAAATTATGTTCCAACTTTAGCTAAAACTGCTCTTTCAATTAATAGCTTCTGAACTGCATTTTTTTTTTTTTTTATTAATTAAACTCTGCTCTAGCTTTAGCTAAATCTGTTGCTTCAATTAATACTTTCTAAACTACATTTTACTTTTCAACTTCGGAACTACAGTCTACTAGCTGAATTGTTGTAGTAACAACTTTCTAAATTAGCTTGATATTTTAGCTTCTGCATCAGCGCGCAGAGTCTTTAGTACAACACTTTACTTCCTCTCTTTTTCCAGAATCAGGCATGGCTATAACAGTCAATTTTTACTTCAATTCAAGGAATTGAGCTGCTGATAAAGCTTTGGTAAGTACATCATCAATTTGCATCTGAGATGGAACATACTGAACCATGATCTTTTTAGCTAAAACCTGATCCCTGATGTAATGAATATCAATCTCAATATGCTTGGTCTTGGAATGAAAAACAGGATTTGTAGCAAGGGCACCAGCGCTGACATTATCGCACTAAATTACTGGAGGAGTGTTCAGAATCAAACCTAACTCAGAAAACATGCTTTGTAACCAAGCTATTTCAGTGGCTATGTGTGCTAAGGCTCTATATTTAGCCTTTGTTGAAGAAAGGGCAACAACCCTCTGTTTTCATGAACTCCATTGGATAAGATTAGGTCCTAGATAAACACAATACCCACTTGTGGATTGTCGATCATCTAAGTTATTGCCCCAGTCTGCATCAGCATAGCATTCAACATTCAGAGATGCAACTGGTCTGAATTGCAACCCATGATAAGATGTCGGGTCTGGTTAAAGTTCAGTATTAGAGGGCCCTGATGGTGTTTCTGTATAGGCTAGGATCTTTGAACAATTCACTGTCAATGGAAGAAAGTTTTGCGCCAACAGCCATGGGAGTGGAACATGCATGAGCATCCATCATCTTAGTTTTGGATAGCAAATCAATGATGTATTTTGTTTGCTTCAAGTGAATGCCAACAGAGGTCCTTGTGGCTTCCAAACCAAGAAAATACTTAATAGACTCAAGAGTTTTTAAGGCAAACTGATCATTGAGATCTTGAACAAGTTGATGTATGGATGAGACATTGGATCCAGTAATCAATATATCATCAATGTATACAAGGACATAGATGATATAGGAATCAATTTTAAGAATGAATAAGCTGGAGCCAGATATAGAGTTTTTAAAACCTCTGTCCAGAAGAGCAAACTTCAACTTGTCAAATCACGCTCTTGGAGCCTGTTTAAGGCCATAAAGGGCTTTGTTCAACTTGCAAACATGAGTAGGATATTGAGGATTTTCAAATCCTTCAGGCTGCCTCATATAAACTGTTTGATTAAGAGTACCATTTAGAAATGCATTATTGACATCTATTTATTGGATGTCCCAGCCATTAGTCACAGCAAGGGTTAGTATAATTCTGATGGTTTAGGGCTTAATAATAGAGCTAACAGTTTCAAAAAAATCCAAGCCAGGGGTTTGCTAAAACCCCTTGGCAACCAGCCTTGCTTTGTACTTTTGTAGGGACCCATTAGCATGAAACTTTGTCTTGAAGACCTATTTGTTACCAACAATTTGCATATCATTCATCTTGGGAACAAGGGACCAAGTGTTGTTCTTTATAGTGCATCATACTCAAGTTACATGGCTTCTCTCCATTCACTACTGACCAAGACTTCAACAACTGAATCAGGTTTTGGTAGGACAGGTTCTTGACCATATATGATAAGGGCTATTTTGTTTTGAAGACTAGTTTTTGCTCTTGTTAACATATGATGCGTGTTTATAGGTAGAGGAAAGGTTGCTGATGTTGAATGATCTATTTTAGGAAGGTTTAATGTAGTAGGCAAACTAGTTGATGAAGTAAGAAATTGTATGGAGTCAAATCAATTACAAGAGGACAGTGAGAAGGCTCCTGATTTTGTAATTGGTGAGATTGGGATGTAATAGGTTGATTTTGAATGGTAAGAGGGTGTGATGTCATAGGTTTATCAGTGGATGAAACAGACAATTGAGATGGTGTTAAGTCTACTATGAGAGGGCAGGAATGAGGTTCCTGGTAGTGAGAAGGCTCCTGATTTTGTAATCAGTGAGGTTGTGATGTAGTAGGTTGATTTTGACTGGTGAAAGGGTGTAATGTGGTAGGTGTTGGATGAGATTCAGTAACTGGTACATGTGATTGGTGAGGTAAAGCTGATGATGGTAAGGAAAAACTTTCTGAAGGTAGAGTGGTGTTGGAGACAGGTTTGGATTGATGGGAAAGTGATGTTGAGGAGGAGTTTTGTGCACCAACTCTTGAAGTAGGAATGGATGCAGAACATGATACTACTGGAGATACTTTACTGTTGGGAGCTATTGGTGATTGAGGAACTAAATCAATAGGAGACATTGATGATGGTACTGACAAAAAAGGAAAGCTAAAACTAGAAGAGATGTTAGTTGACTGTGAAAAAGGTGGAACTTGAGAGTGAAGAAATTGTGTACAAAAGGAAATTCATCATCAATAAAAGTGACATTGGGTGTAATAAAAATTTTGCGTTTGCCTTCAGGACTTAAACACCTATAGCCTTTATGAACTAGACTATATCCTACAAATACACACTTAGAAGAATGAAAACTAAGTTTGTGCCTATTGTAATATCTTAGGTAAGGAAAACATGCACATCCAAAAACCTTTAAAGATGAATAAAGGGGTAATCTACAAAACAACAATTGATAAGGACACTTAAAATCAAGAATAGCAGATGACATCCTGTTGATTAAGAACACTGTTGTATCAAATTCAAGCCACCAAAAAGTCATAGGCATAGAGGCATGTGCAAGTAGAGTGAGACCCGTTTCAACTATATGCCTATCTTTTCTCTCACTTTGTGCATTTTGTTGATGGACATAAGCAT